GCGCTGTGTGCACAGTCTTGTTGTAGTTGAGACTTGATTGCTGTTGGTATCACTGGGAGGAATTGACCTCCAGGTCAATTGGCTGTGAGGACCCGTTGTGTCTACAATGGGAGAACTTCTGTGCTAGAGACACCTTGATGGGGCAGGACTTGCTTCAGTGGGGCTTTGGCGCTCACTGAGTCTGCCCCCTGAGTGTGTCTCTTATGGATCTGAGGAGTTGTAATCTAGATGGTCTCATCTGACCACTGGGTAGACTGGCTCGTGGATCTCAAAGGAAGTGCAAAGTCAGCCACTGCCTGAGGCCACCCAGCAGGAGTTACAGAGAGATCTGTTTGGGGTTGCCCAGAGAAGGCACAGCTGTGAAGTAATGCAGGCTGCTGAGGAGCATTAGGCCTTCTTTTGGAAGCCCTGGGGTTCTCCGACCCAACTATAGTTTGACAGGTTTTTAGGCAGAGAAAGGCCAGGCCATTCATATGCAAAAGCCTCTGCACACAGCTTGGGTGGGGTTGTAAATTGGGTGGGCAGGGGTTTCAGGGAATCACCAGGGCGGAGCAAACCGCAATGGCTGCCAGTCTGCTCTGCTGCAGAGAGGTCCCGGGGTCTCTGTGTCCTGCAGCACCGTGCAGGAACTATTATCACTGCAAGCGCTTCTGCGAGAAAGCTGCCCTCATGTTCCAGCCCGATGCCAGACAGTCCAGTTTCTCTCCGTATGAATCTGGGTCCCCAAAGTCTCGCCGAGAACTGGAGTTCAGAGCAGTCGGGAGCTTGTATCTCCCTCCCGATTGAAAAAGACAACAGCATACCCAGCTGCCAGCCCCTTTTGTGAGCACCTCCGTACCTCCACACTTCCACACCTCTGCACCTTCTACCGGACTCAATGTGCTTTTCTCTTTCCTTCTAGTAGAATTTCCACTCAGCCAGCTTTCCCATGGTTCTGGGTGATATTCGTTTCGTCTTTTAGTTGTAATTTTAATGTGGTTGTGCATGGCAGCAAGTTCAGGTGTTTACCTATGCCGCCATCTTGGTTGTCTCTCCCCATTTTTACTTTTTACTAATTTCAGAGAGGAAGGGATAAAATTTTGAGACTCAAGTCACCTACTTATAAAATTATCCTGCTGGACTAGTGATAGTTTTCTGATTTTAGTGAGCAAATAGTTTTAATTAAAAGGATAAAGTGTATGAACCATTAACTCATAGAAGTAAAACTTGCATCTCCATCATTCTTGCCAAAGGGCCAGCATGTTTACTTTCATGTTTTGTGTAGGACTGTGTGATTAACTTCCTTATGTAAAATCTTTCCGTGGAGAATCATCAACTAGAGTTCGTTACATAGAGGGAGAGAGAGATAGAAACATCAATGATGAGAGAGAATCATTGACTGACTGACTGCCTCTTGCACCCCCCACACTGGGGATTGAGCCTGCAACCCAGGCATGCTGCCTGACTGCATGTACCCTGACAGGGAATTGAACTGTGACTCCTTCCTGGTTCATTGGTCAATGCTCAGCCACTGAGCCACACAGGCTGGGCTCACTAAATCCATTTTTAACAACCAAATGAATTAAAAAAACTTTCATCAAAATATGCTACTTTGAACTTTCCCACCACAGACCCACAGGAGCTTGGTGAAGCTCAGACAGGCTGCTTTATAGCAAAGAGGTGAGATTATATAACAGAATCAAGGACTGATGCATGGTTTAGAGAAATTCCTTAGAAAGAGGCATCTACCATAGAAAGCAAGTCTAAATATTTAATAATTATGAAAGAAACTGTCCTATCCCCACCCCCCCCCAAAAACCACATCTATTCAAGGCCTTTTAAAAGGCAACCACTTTTCAGTTGCAATGAATCCTATTTGATGATTCTCCATGCTAAGATTTTACATACAGTCCTACACAAAAAGGTAAAAGTAAACATGCTGCCCTTGGCAAGAAAGATGGAGATGCAAGTTTTACTTCAATCTTTGAGTTAACGGTTCATACACTTTATCCTTTTAATTAAAACTATTTGCTCACTAAAATCAGAGAACTGTCATTAGTTCAGCAGTATAATTTTATAAGTAGAATACTTGAGTCTCAAAATTTTATCTTTCACCTAGAAGTACACTATTTTAGTTATGATTTATTTAAAGGACCAAAAGTCAACTTCATCATATTCGCTTCAAATGTTTTCTTAGAATTCCTTATCTTCCTACTTGAGAAATACTTAAAAATAAAACACATTAAAAACAAAGCTAAATTTAACATTAAGATCCTGATAAATCAATTGAGATAGTCACTGTGAAATTTCTAAATTTTCCTCATGGCACTCAAAAATAAATAAATACTTAATTCATGTTTTGGAAAAGAGATACATTATAAAACTTTTAGCACTAATAACTGTTTATAATAAGTTAATGTTAAAAAGAAAAGGTCTGTATTCACCTGGTAGGTTAGTAACTAGCTGACCTCTGATGAAATCATCGACTTCTTCCGGCTTTAAGTGGTACTGGCCGTCTGGCTTTGCTTTTCTAGTTGCCATTCTAGCCAGGAGAATATTAGAACCTATAAAGCAAGAAAACAAAAACAAAAGTTATTCAAGAAATAGTCACAATTATTTTTAAAATTTATTAACAAAGACATCTTCAGACAGGTTACTGAGCAAATTTCTACAAATAATGAAAGTAAATTATTTACAATTTTGATCATTTCAAATATAGCACAAAACCAGCAAAATTTTGTTTACTAGAGATTATAACCAGCATGGTTACTGAACAGAGATAACCATGTTCCTCTTTGTTCCAAAATAAGTATCATTTCAACATCTCCTACCCAGGTAAAGGAATAGAGAAAGCAGTCCCAAACAACGGTGATTTATAGGAAGTTGAGAGCAATGATCAGAAATTAGTTCATTTTACCAACCAGCAGATCCAGGCTAGGCAGGGCAATCAGGCCAAATGAACTCTATTGGACTTGGGAAAAAGAAAGCCAAAGAACCAGAAGTCTCACTCTACGATCAGGACACGTATAGTAGAAACTGAGGACATGAGAGACTTAGAAACAAGATGGACCCTGGCAGTGAGGCCCCGGGTGTGGCTGTGAACACGAACCTAGAGCACAGCAAAGGAAAGGCTCCTGGGAAGGTGCCAGGGACCTGAAAAACAACATGTCAGGTGAACTTGTATGTGAAAAATGACACCTCCAAAAATGATGGGAGGCTTATAGAAAGCACATGTCTTAATTTTAGGGTAGACGTCTATAAAATCCATGTGTTTCCCAGGGTAAATAGATATTCAGGAAGAGAAAATGCCCTAGAAAGTCACACCAAAGTGATAAATATGGTGAGTTCTAAAGAATAAAAGGGGGCTGAGGGGAGGAAATATCATGTGGGAATTTTGTTTTAATTATGTGCTTGAATTTGAAAGAATTTTTTGTTTTCTTTTTGAAAGAATTTTTCATGTCGTTATACTTGTACATTAAAAATACGTCCAATAAAAAGCACACCAAAGCTTGTGCCTGATCGGAATTGCACAAGGTGAGCCCTAAGTGAAAGATGAGGAGAACCTGCAGGCCAAACACCAGGCAGGCTAGCTATTAATAGAGGAATGCAATTAATGTATTAACATTGTTTTACTCTCCGTATCTTATGCTGTTTTGACACATTAAAAATCTTGATGGGCAGTGAGAGACTGCCCTCCTGAGGCTAGCTAATTTCTAAAGAGTGAACACTTCCTAGTGAACATGCCTCCCACAGGCCAGCCAGCCACCCCAACCATTTCCTTATCCAACTCACACACAAAGCCAGTATGCCCCTGCTCTCCCTCATCCCAGAGCCAGGTACAGGCAACCAGAGACCACCCTTGTAGCCCTAAGGCTACTGGAAGTACCCAGAGTAGCCAATCCTGAGCTGTTTACTCTTGCTCTCCCCGCCTGGCCTTTCCTAAAGAAACCCAGTAAAGACTCAGACTAGGATTCCTCTCACTCCTGCTTCCTCCTTCCCACCGAGCTCTGGTGCTACCCCTCATCCCCCCACGGTCCTGCATGGTATGGCATGCCCTCTGGTCCTCTCGGGAAATGAAGCCATAAAAATCTTCCTTCACTAGGACTGGCTCTTTTATCTGCATAAATTAAAAGGCCACCGGTACAAATGAGACAGGAACTTCAGAGGAAGAAGGGTATTTGAATGAGAATGGAACAGTCATGACTGAAAGTGACAGTGAAGCCAAGGGAATCCTGTCCCTCAAGCCTGTGGCACAGAGCATGGCAGGGACAAACTGGATCCACTTGAGAGAAGGGCAAGAAGAGAGGTGCTGAGGAGGTTCTGAATGGAGGAGGTGGCTCAGGGAAGGTTAGGCATGGAGAGAGAGGGTTCCAGAGGGCACAGCAGATGAGACCACAAAAGGATAAATGGTGGGAGTTAAGGAGGAAACCAAGGACGAGATGTAAGATCGACCAGGCAATGGGTGAGAGACGAGACTGTCGCTGAGGGCACTGTCACGAGGCGATTCCTGGAACTGGGAGTGGAGACAGGATGGCCGCGCAGTCCAGGAGGCTGGAGTTCAGAAAGTAACTGATTACAACAGGCCTGGAACTTCACACTGAACTCCGCACCCTCACCACCCTGCTGTAAACATGGCTTCTGTCCACACTTGACAAAAGTACACTGTTCACACATACTGACTTCAATTCTCCCATTTCTAAAGAACAAGTGAGAGATACTCTTGAAGAGCAGCTGAGAAATACTCCAACTTTGTTATTCCAAAGATATTATCAACCACTGACTTGCACTCCCCACACTTTTATCTCATGTACTGAACAATTGTGAGCAATGATAAGAATTGTTTTGGAAAAGGCCTATGCAGGAAGGTAATAAAAACAAAACCCAAAATTCACTCCTAAAAATTAAGTGATCCAAAGTAATACTTTGAGTAAAGTGAACAATAGGAGAGAAGCTAGATCCTAACCAATCCCAACAGAGGCAGCACAGTGAGTCTGGTCTTTGATTTCCATGCGGACAGCACTTGCAAATTCATCAGGAGTAAGCTTGGTCTCCGCAAGGATTTCAGTGATGTCCACCAGCGCTTCATCACAGCTGACTGCTTCGATGTTGTGTGTATAGCTGCCAACACAAAGCACAGGCAATGAGGCACAGCTACAACTGCATCCATCACCACAAACATGGAAAATACAGTCTTTCCATGGTACCCCCTCCAACACTTCCTTACAAGACTTAAGATGATAAAAAATGTATTAGCATTTTCATTAAACTGGCCCAAGTGCAAAGTTAATTAATTAGTGTTTTCTCTTTCCATATCATCTACCAAAA